TCGTGGCCCAAACCTCTGTTTGCAAGCCCAAATATGCTTAACTTGAAAGATTTGATCCAATAATCTTGAGGTTCATTGTTAGGAGGCTTTGGTCTTATCAATCCTCTAATAGACTTTCATAAATTTTGGACTAAGTGAATCATTTAAACATCATTGATTATTTGTTGTTGCCTTGAGATTTTTAAATAAATGATATACTTGACAAAAAGAAAATGAAACTTGTTATTGAGAGGCTTTAATTTTATGAACTTCTAATGAGTTTTCAAATGTAAGATTCAAGATGGTCATTCAACTAACCTCTAATTTCTAACTCATTAACAAGTGACTTTTATTTCTATGCTTTTACTTTTACTTTAAGCACCATTTATATTAGCATTTATATTTCATGCTATTTTCATCTTTGCTCACTTGAGCATTTATCGTTATGTCATTTTGTTTTGCTCACTTGAGCTTTTCATTTTCTTTTTAAAGATACCTAATAATCAACTTGAACAATACAAATCTTTAATGATACTTGGACTACTTGGTTACTATCCTTGGCATTTTGGATTGATGGACTTCTTGGACTTAGGGATAGAGACCTTGAACTACCTTGAGTGACTTTTATTGTTATTTTGTCTGGAGTTCTTGGGGTTTACCTCAAGACATTGGGTTGTTTGTTTTCTTTGTGTGTAGGTTATTATGATTATATGTTTTGTCTGTGATTGGGAGTTCATCTATATACAGCTGTTACTCTGCCCAATTTTTGTGAAGACTTGATGCATTCGAAGTTTGGTATTCTTAAGAGGTTCATTATCTTTTCTTGTTTGGTTTCAATCCAAAGGATGGGAATCCTACATTGACTCATTGTGTCAAGTGTTGGTTTCTTGTTGGTTAAACGGTTCTTTTCCCTAACTTTTATCTTATGCTTTAGGATAGTCCTTTCATCTCCTCCCATCTTCTTTAATTTCAAAAATCTTCTTCCTCCTTTTCAAAACTATTCTTGTTTTCTAAACTTGAATTGCTTTCATAATAAACTTGGACTTAGGTCCATGCATTTTCAAAAATATTTTATTTAATCAAATTTTAAACAACTTAATAATACTTTGACATTTTTCTGAGAAGACTAAAAGTCAATCAATCTCATTCAAACCATTTTTCCACTTTGGCTTTTTTACTGTAAATTTTTTCTCAAAAGATTAGACTCTTGTTAATCCTTGTAGTGATGCGAACTACTATACTCCTACGATATGTAGTGAAGTGAGATATTTTCCACTTGGGTGTTGAGTAAGGCTTTGTTGATTTTAAAGTCCAAGCCATATCCTCCATTTTGAGATGATGCAAATTCTCCTTTCTCATAATCGTGGGTAGTAAGTATGTTCTTCCACTCGGATAATACGGTGATGTCTCGTCTCTTAAAATTAACCAGCAGACTTGTGTTTTAAAATTTTTAAATGTGAACTACGAGTACCCTGATTCCCTATTGCACGGAAGATGGTACGTAGGCATTAAAGGTTTGCAACTGCGTCGGGTGCAAAAATTGTAAAAAAACACTTCTTTTCTCATCCCCACAATCTATATTTTGTATACAACTTTTATAGCCAAAATATACAAATTTTTAAAGAGGTTCTTTCGGAGTACTGTAGATATTTAGGGTATTAATACCTTCCCATTGCATAACCAACCCCCGAACTTAGATTATCTCCCCCTCTTTTTGGGTTATTCGTTTTTTTCCCATTCCTTTGGAAATAATAAAGCGTGGTGGTGATTTTTATTTGATCTGTGCGAGTCAAGTCAATCCAATGACTTAGTCTTAACATTTTTACCGCTACAACTACCAAAAATAGAAGTTGTAAGGGAAGATCCATCAGGAAGATTAACATGTACATGGATAATATTTTGATATCCAGTAAATGCATAAATCTCATATGAAATATAGTTTTTTGCTCTAGTATCTAATATCCAGATAGAGGAAGACTTACCAATGGCATTAGAGGAGTGAGTATTCGTGACCAAAGGTGAGGTGGAAATAAAGTTGGCTTTAGAGTTAAGTTTTGATTGCTGGAGAAATTCAAGGAGATTGTTGTACTATTCTCGAGTGAGATTATATGAAGAGGTTGTTAATTCCTGTTGGGATTTGTCACACATGACATTGATAGTGGAAATATTTTGATTGTTATTGTGAGAAGATTTAGTCTTGCCTTTGCCTTTGAAACCTGGTGGATAACCATGTTTGAGGAAACATGTTTCCACTGTGTGATTAGTCCTACCACAATGTGTGCATACACGATTGTGACCTCTACCAGGACCTTAATTTTTGCCTTTGAAGGTGTTACTTTCAGATTTACCATTGGAATTTTTATAGAAAGCTTGTACCTGATAGGCCATAGCTAGCTCCTCAGGGCCAGATGAAGCTTGAACCAATGAAGACGCAAAATTGTTAAGCTCACGTTCTTGCTGAATAATGAGGGAAAATGCTTTATCTAAATCTGGAATAAGATTCATCATCATTATCTGTGATTTAGAGTGAGTGAATTTCTCATTCAAGCCTTTGAGAAACCGAATAACTTGATCTTGTGCCCGATATTGCATAGCAGAAGCAACTGCTCCACAAGAACAAGATATAGAGCAAGAACATGCAAGAATGAGCTTGTAATTCTCTAATTCATCCCATAACACCTTCAATTGAGTAAAATAATTGGAAACGTCTAGGTTACCTTGACGGAGCTTGTATACGTCTTCTTGTAAATTAGAAATGTGAGATATATCAATGTGAGAAAACCTGAGTTGCGGATTCTTCCAGACTCCAGCAACACTTTCAATCCAAAGCACTGATATGGAAATGGAGTCAGAGATGGACCTGTGAATCCACGCGAGTACCATTCTGTTGCAGCGAATCCACGACGCATAAAGAGGATCTGAAATTGGTGGTTTTCTAAGAGAGCCATCGATAAATTTGTCTTTGTTTTTGGAAATCAATGCAATGTGCATAGATTTAGCCCAACGGTAGTAGTTCTTGTCATCAAGAAGAGGAGAAACCAATACCAGTGCAGGGTTTTCATTGGGATGGAGATAGAAGAGATTTGTAGAGTTTGTTGAGAAATCAATGAATTGTTGGTATGCCATTGTTGGATGGTTCAAAGAACACTGTAACAAGAAGACACAATGAAGAGCACACGAAGGTGATCTGGAAAAAAAAAGGAAAGTTTGCGTAGGAGAAAGGGAACAACAATGGCTACCGGAGCTGTGTGAGCTCTGATACCATATCAATGTTAAAGAAACAGAGCATGTGAATTCACTCCAATGACACAAGCAAGGAGGAAGAAAAAGAAGTTGTAATTGAATTCAGTTACAGAATGTAACAGAAACGCGGAAGAAAGTGAAACTATCATTCATTGATTAATTGATGAAAAATATTCATACCAAAATCTTATATATAGGATATCTAAACAACCAATGTAAAAAGGACACGTGACTCATTTTTCTATCCATCTAAACTATCTAAATAATGTATATATGCCGATATCCTTTGCTGATAGTTCATCTGAGAATGCAGTGAAGAAAAAAGACGAAGAATGTCGTTTATCTCCATTTCTTCCTCCCCTCACATTGTCCCAAGCCCTTTGCCTGCTACTCATATTTCGTTTACCAGCAACCGGCCACTCCCCATCTTTGTGGCCCCCACCTCTCTCTTTTATCTCTCTACTGTTTTCAACAACGTTAAAATATCCTCCGATACACCAATCACATCGACGATTTTCTCTTCTTAATTCCTTTAACTTCTCCCACATCTTAGTTTTGTCACTTGTGCGACAATGATGAATGAATATATATTTTCTTCCTAAGTGATTATGTGTATGTTTCAATGAGTTTTAATTTATAATTTTTAAAAATTATTTTATAAATCAATTTAAGAAAAAAGGAGAATACTTAGATACAATTCAATAAGTGTAATTCATATTTTTCTCTAATAAAAATATGAAAAATATATTTAAATATCTTTTAAAGAATAAATAAGAAGAAAATTGCATATGTGTAGGAGAAAATTATACACTTGACATATTTTCATTATAAAAAAATATAAGCCACGGAATTGTACTTAAGTTTTTCTTTTAAAAAATAGCTATGATGAAAAAATATTTTTGATAATTTTACTTTTAAAAGTAATTTTAAAGTTGCACAATATTATAAATTTACTATTAATGAAAATGTACCTATTTTTGTTATTATTTTTAAAAAATTTCCAAACTAAAAACTAAAACCAAAAAAATCTGTAAAACCTATTTTTGTTGTTTTTAAACACATAATAGTTTTCAAAAATAATTTATAAAATTAGGTTATTAAATTAATTTTATAATTTTCAAACATTAAAAATTAAAATAAATTTTACAAAATCAAATCAAACAAATCCTAAATGTAGAATTGTTTATTGAAATATGGGCTTTAAGTACGTTAAAAGTATGGTTTTGTTATCCAAATTGACTAGTAGTACTTAATTGATTGAATAAAGTCAAACTATATTAGCTGTCTAAACGTATATACTCTATTAAACACATAGGTCAAACAATGGTATATTTGTGTTTTTGTAACTGATTTCCGTTTTCCTCCATAGACTATACATAACCGATTGCCTACTTAGTTTATTTTACATACGACCTGGCTTCATATGGTCATAAATATGTACTGTATAATTTAATTTTTGTCACAGCTTAATAAAATTATAGATGAAATTAGTTAATACTTGAAAACTTAATTCGCTTACATAATTAAATACGTATTTGAAGTATTTCTTGCCAAACAAGCCTAACTTGGTTTACATAATCAATTCAGCCACACTGATTAGGACCACCCCACTAACTAACTAATATTATGACATGCATGCAGTCTATATGAACCTTCATTCTTCTATAAATATCGACCATCTTTTCTTATTCTTCTCATTCAAAACACATTCACCAGCTCAAAGTACCACTTTACTCATATACAATATTCTTCTACCTCTCCTAGCTCTAAATACAAAAATGAAATCCATCAACCTTTTCCTTGTGACATTGCTAATTATGGCTTTGGCCATTGCACTATCATCATCAATATCTTCTGCAATGGAAGAACCAAACTCTAATATTCAAGGAACAAGTCACTTCATCCTTTCCCGAAAACAAAACAGAATCTCTCTAACATGTGATAAATACCCCAAGATTTGTCATGTCAAAGGTAGTGCAGGCTCAGATTGCTGCAATAACCGATGTGTCAATTTTACCATAGACATGCTTAATTGTGGGAGGTGTGGAAAGAAATGTAGCTTTCCAAAGATATGCTGTGAAGGTAAGTGCGTGAATCCTAGGAGTAACGAGAAGCATTGTGGGAAATGTGGTAACAAATGTGACAATAGAGGCTCTTGTGTTTATGGAATGTGCAGTTATGCCTAGAACTTCAAATGGATTAAGTGGTATATAGTTTGACCAATAAAGCCGCCACTACTAAAATTTATTTGATTCTTGCATTGATTAATTGGTGACTCGGTGTACTAATAAACAATATTGATATTTGTGGTTGTTGTTTGGTATTGTTATTAATTGAAGAAAATATGTAACTGGTTGTTCATAAACTAAATAAAAGAGCTCAATTCCAATTCTTGAAATTATATACTCCATTTTTATTTAATTTTGCTCTCTAGAGATATGCATTTTTATAAGGTTTAGAATGTGTCTGATGTAAGAATTAAATTTTAAAATAGATATATAAAGATCTTCTCATTTAATGTCCAAATTACTTAAGTGTTTTTTCTACTATAACATTTTATGCAATATTTTATCCAAGATCGTGTTTATAGCACATTTGTTAATCTCAAAATTATTTTTAATAGTATCTCTTGTACTTTTTTTTAGATATTTTTTTATTTATAGATGTTTGACTATCATCTCTATCCGATCTATATTTTTTACAAAAAAAAATAAATATAAATTTCTCTCTACATGCTGAGACAATCTACACCTTTTTTCATCATCTTTTCTACTATATATCTAGCCAAACACTCTATGTAATATTGTCAATTATATTTTTATCACATCTAGTCTTATCAAACATCCAACGGCAAAATCTTTATCTTCAGCTCATGCAATATTTTTGTGTCATATAAAATCTCTAAGGACATCCACCATTTCCACCACCTAGCTAAAATTTGATGGTTTACTTTCTCTTTTATTTCTTTATTTTTTATATTACATGTTCAAGATATTTAAACTACATGACTTGTATAATGTTATGGTCTCCAACTTAAACTTCTAGTGCAGAAATGCTCCTCCTTTAGGAGTACATACATTCTACATACTCTGGCTTACTTCTACTTAGGCAAAAATCATGTGTTTCTAAGACTCATCTCCAAATCTATATCCTTTAATTTAAATATCCCTTTGACTCTTCAAGTAGAACTATGTCATCTAAAAAAATATATCTCGGTGCTAGCACTTGAATGTGTTGCGTGAGTACATCCAAAATTAATGTAAAAGTTAGGGATTTAGAGGCGTTGAACCTTGGTGCAATACTAACATAGTCGAAATCACGAAGGAATAGCAAACGCTAAGCCTAGAATGAAAACACAAGTTTGTAAGCAACAAACTTGTCAAATAAAATTTTGGAATCCACCAAAAGAGAAAATATTTAAATTTTATTATGACCAAAGATAACCTTGACGACCACACTCAAAAGTGTTTAAATACATTAAAAAAAACCAATGGGCTTTTAACCCAAAACATAAATAAATAAATAAAAAGAAACCCTAATAAACTTTTAATCCAAAATAGAAATAATATAGAAAATTGATGAAAATATTAAAATATTATAATCGGACCTGAAACATATTCAAATGGCTTAAAAGAGTCATATATCTCTATAAAGAAGTGTGTCGGACTCGTGAGCCAATTTCCTACCCGAAAAGATAAAATAATAGTCATTCTGGTATCAAAGGTCAAACATGGATAATTCCTGACAAACCTTTTTGATGCGTAACTTCTTATTCGATACATGGAACTAGGCTCCATAAATTAGTCTCCTCCTCCTCCAAAAAACTCAACCCCGGGTTCTCTTCTTGATAAAGAGCCTCATTTGCTTGATACTCATAAATGTCAACGACATTGAAAGTATTGGATATATTCATGGAATCTGAGAGAATTGTCATATAAGCATTATCGTTGATCTTTCGGGTCACTTTGAACAGGTCACACTTGTGTGGCTGCAGCTTGTTATAAGTACCAACTAGAAACCACTCCTTACGCATAAACACCATCACATTATCTTCCACATTGAAATCTTTAACTTTCCTACATTTATCTCACATTGGAGGAATTTGTTTGGTAGTTCATATGTGGTCAACTTGGTAGTTCTTCTGGAATTGTTGTTTCCTTGTTTACAACACTCATAAGCCCTTTAATCACTATTGGACGGAAAAATTCATTTTCTTCAATAGACTCATCAAGCTCTTTTTCACTTTGTGTCGTCACAATAAACTAGATTTTTCCTCCTGGATTCTTATCAAAGTGCAAAATAGGAGCCATATCAATTTTATGTGTGCCCCATGTAAACATCATCATATTATACTGTCCTCGATAAGTGATATTATTACCAAACTTCCAATGCCTACCAAGTAAATACGACAAACATCCATAACAAAAACATCACAAAGTAACTCTTCTCTATAATGTGTTTTGATGGAGATAGGAACTATACAGGCTAATGTTACTCGATCTTGGGAGCCCCTGCTTACCCAACCGATGGTGTATGGCTTTTCATAGGGTTATGTGCAAAACTTCAAATAATCTACCAATTTCTGAGACAACATATTATCCATGTTGCCACTATCTATAATAAGATTACACACATTGTTCTTGATATAACAATGTGTTTTAAAAAAGATTTTGCATTGCCCTTTGTGATACGGTGGCAGAACCGGACTTGTTTTGGAAAATGCTGGTTTGCGTTTTGCGTTTGTGTTTGCAAAATGTCACGGTAAGCAAGAGTCGCCACCGACTTTTATTTTATCCAACTAGAAAGGAAAAAAGCACAAAAAAATTCCTTTTTCGAGATTTTGAGTACGGGGGTAGATTATAGAAAGGGAAGGTATTAGCACCCTTTCTATCTGTGGTTTTCCACGGGCTCTTAGTTACTTGATCATCATTTTAAAATTGCTTCCGTGTTTGTGTGTTTTGAAAAGTTTTTGTTTGACTTTGTTTTAACCCTTGTATCAGTCCTCAAGAGTGTTACGAAGTGTTTTTGAAACTTTGTTTGAAAGGAGTGTAAGTGTGAAAAAATTTGTTTGGATTGAGCAAGCACTTAAGAACTAATCTACCTACTCGAAAAAAGAATTGTTCTATGTTCGTTTCCTTTAGACAGCGTTATCCCACTATTAGTGAGTAGGTAGCACCGTCGTTGGAGTTTTGAGGGTCAATTCGAAAATGGACGTACGATCACTAAAGCAATGTTAGGACGTCTTAGTAATAACCCTGATGTATTAAGATCAATATTCGAGGCAACTATTCTGAGGCAACCTTTCCGAGGCAACTTTGATCTTTGAAACAAAAGGGCGACCACTAAAATATCCTATACTCAATGACCGTTTACCGAAGGCAACCGAAGTGGGAGTATACCCTAGGAGTGCGCATGTGCGAGTGATTCAATTTCAAGTTATTATCTTTGCACATTTAGGGTTTGTTAACAGTTTTAAAGTTAATCATACAATCTTGTCATGCATCTCTAATATTCATACATCTAACAGTTAATAGTTGCGGAATTTAAAGTGCGAAAAGTAAAGCTAAGCTATTACAAGGCTTCGGGTATTTACATAGCCAAAAACAAACCCTTAAAACAAAAGAGATAAATGAAAGTAAAAGTCCTAATTAATCTATTACAACTTGTGAGCAATTATATCAATATGGCAAAATAAGATAAAAAAGTGCGCGCGATGAAATTAAGAGCGATAAGAAATTAGGGTTTTGACCCCGTCTAACCTAATCGAGAAAAGAAATTATTTTTGTGGTTTTTGGTTATTTTTAAGAAAAAGAATTAGGTTTTTAAGTTATTTACACAAAAAAAGAATTTAAGTTACCCTAGAAATTAAATAATCTAATTAAATTAATTAATTTTTGATAAAAAATAAGCCTAAACCTAATTTGGTGAAAAGTTGATTTTATGAATTTTAATAAAAAAGGAATTATTTAGTATTGAAGAAGGGTAACAAAAAGAGAAATAAAAAAAGTAAAAGAGATAACCCAAGGGCCTGCTGCCAGCGGCTCTGATCAGAGGATGATGATCCAGAGGATGGAGGTCCAGAAGTTCATGGTCCATCGAATGATGATACTGGGCCTGCTCCTAGATAGTGGATCCAACAGATTATGACCATCAGAAGATGAGGTGCGCTGGATCTGGCTGAGACTGATGGATCCAGAGGATAATGCCCAGGGGATGCTCAATCCGATCCTGGTTGATGAAATCAGAAGATAACACCCAGAAGATGTAGGCGCTGGATCTGGTGAAAACAAAGGGGGGAAAATGCCAGAGGGTCAGGATTAGGATCGAACCCAGAACCATGAACTTCTGACTTCTTTCTTCTGACCAACTGCGCTGGGTTAGTTTATCAACATAACAAAAACAAACAAATAGATCCGAATTATAGGCTTCTGGCCAGAATAAACGCGCCAGAATTTAAACCGGCCAGTAGAATGGTGACATGCTATCGTCTTCTTCCCTGGATCCGTCGTTTAAAATTCAGAACCTTTACCTACGGACATGGCACTGTAGCTGTAACCCTGTACATCTCAGAAATCACATACAAGCAATATAAATAAAATTCAAGACCATGGATCAGTTGGGTTTGATCTGCTGATCACAATGGTCTTTTCCATTTGGGCCAATTTCACCTGCATGAGAAGATCCTAAAACGAAGCATAAAACCCTAACAATGGCAAATGCTGATACAGTCCACAAAAACGCAATTGAATGTTATACATAGTTTACAAATATGTTAAGAAACAAGAATATGTGATTATCTCATGTTGTAAGTGCCAGAGATATGCAAATCGAATTCAAAAAAGTTAAATTACGTGACTGCCTTACAGTGGTTTCTAGCGCCTGAAATTGCTTGTTCTTGATTGGTATAGGTTCCTTGTGATCCCAGGAAGCAATTGGGATGGCTAGAGAGTCTTGAGAATGCCTGGAAATATGAAATCGTGTCTGCACTTTTTGTGATTTTTTCAAGTTTGGTTCTTGTTCTTGTGCCTCTCTCCCTACTTGCTTTAGGTCTGTAAATGATCAATATATACCAAGGATTGGATTATGGTTGAAAACCTGATCTCAATCTTCCTCCATTATTGATTTTGATCTTGAAACATGTAGGACCTGAAACATGTACAAGATCTTTGGATTTCAATGTTTTGGA